TGCCTTTCTTCATGGCAACCTTGAAGAAGACATTTACATGGCTCAACCAGTAGGTTTCCCAGTGAGTGGTAAGGAGAAGTTGGTGTGCAAACTCAAGAAGAGTCTATACGGACTGAAGCAAGCTCCTAGACAGTGGTACTTGAAGTTTGACAGTTTTATGCAGCGGAATGGGTACACTAGATGCAAGATGGACCATTGCTGTTACTTCAAGAAATTCGAGTCTTCATACATTATTCTTCTTTTGTATGTTGATGACATGTTGGTGGCTGGAGCAAACATGCAGGAGATCAACAAGCTCAAGAAGAAGTTATCTGAAGAATTTGAGATGAAGGACTTAGGGGAGGCGAGACAGATTCTTGGGATGAGCATAGTCAGAGACAAGGTGGAAGGTACTTTAAAGCTTTCACAGCAGAAGTACATTCAGAAGGTCCTTGAGAAGTTCAGAATGACGGATGCAAAACCAAGGAATACACCGTTAGGGAGTCAGTTGAAACTCTCCAAGCAGCAGTCTCCAAAGACCAATGAAGACAAAGATGAGATGGCTAAAGTTCCTTATGCATCAGCAGTTGGCAGTTTGATGTATGCGATGGTGTCAACAAGGCCAGACATTGCTCATGCAGTGGGAGTTGTTAGCAGGTTTATGTCAAATCCAGGGAGGAACATTGGGAAGGAGTCAAGTGGCTGCTACGCTACTTGAAAGGCACCTCTAGAACTGCTCTTTGTTTCAGGAGGAATGGGGCAATTCTAGAAGGTTTTGCAGATGCTGATTTGGGGGGCTGTCATGATTCCGGGAAGAGCACTACGGGTTACATATTCACTATTGGAGGTACGGCAATCAGTTGGATGTCCAGATTACAGAAGAGTGTAGCTCTTTCAACCACAGAAGCAGAGTATATGGCTATTGCTGAAGCGGCCAAGGAGATGATTTGGTTGAAGAACTTTCTTTCGGAGTTGGGCATGAAACAGGGGGATTGTGGCCTGTACTGTGACAACCAGAGTGCTATTCATCTCGCGAAGAATCCGGTGTTTCACAGCAGAACGAAACACATCAAGATGAGGTATCATTTCATTCGAGAATTGATTGAAGATGGTACTATAAATTTGAAGAAGATCCTTGGTACGAAGAATCTAGCAGACATGCTTACCAAGGCGGTGACAACGGAGAAGTTGAAGCTATGCATGGCTTCAACGGGCCTTCCAGATACTTGATGAGAAGGCGTGGACGAGAGAGAGAGAGAGAGAAATCAAGGGTTTTACAGAAGGTACATGTTTTTGGATGGCAGATAATTTTTGACCAAGCCTCCAAGTGGGAGATTGTTGAAGATGGAGTCTTGTTCAGAGTTTCAGAACTGATACCCGCCCGGGTCAGATGAAGGACCCGACCGGGTATGTTGAAGCAGAGACCTGGGGACTTTCTGGAATGTGAGACCCGACCGGGTCAGGTGAAGGACCCGACCGGGTCAGTTGATCTCCGAGCTTCTGTTTTGGAAACCCGACCTGGTTTCTACCGGGTTTGTGTTCTGTGAAGGAGACCCGACCGGGTCAAATAAGAGACCCGACCGGGTCAGACGACGGGATTTTTAATTACAGGCTTAATTTTTGGGCCTGCGGCTCTAATCTCAGTTTAGGTTTTCTTAAACCTATTTAAACGACTCTTATGTACTTGTAAACCTCTTGGGGACGCTGATAATAATACATACTCTCTCTCGTTCGCCGTGGACTAGCGTAATCACTCCGATTGCGTGAACCACGTTAATTCTTGTGTTCTTGCTCTTAATTTATCGTTTATCTTTGCCTAATCGTAACAATTCATATCACCATTGATAATTAACATTTAACCATCCTTAATTGCTTATATTCATATCAGCATTGATTGTTAGAATTTACATATCTAAATGATACTCCGTACATTAATAGTTTGAGTACGCTAGAATTTACCAAAAAGTATAATTTGAGTACGCTAAAATTTTGATATTCAAAATTACATAATATATAAGGATCGGATAGGAGTTGGGACGGTGGGGTATTTTAAAGAAGAGTATATGCATTTAAGCAAGCTCGACTGCTCGAGTATGTAAAGCGCCATGGCGGGTTATACTTTTACTTGGTGCATAATACACAAAGACAATATAGAGTGTTTTCCATGTTAATGGGAGAACTTTTAATTTGAAAAACATAATGACATATGGAGTGTGTATATGTTATGTTTCTATGTGTTAATAGTCACCAGTCATAGTGAAAATGTGCATTGTTTTGTCATGAAAATTTCATCTTTTTATTCGTGAGAATGTGCTTCAATTCTTCTGTACATGTAAGTTGTAACAAGTACCATCTTTTGAGACATAAAAAAGACAAATAAATATGAATCGTAAGGGGCCATCGGTCAAAGGTGGCAATGACGCTGGTGACTGCAATAAATTACTTGAAGTAACACTAATAATAAACTGACTTTGAAATTATAAAATGGTGGTAAAAATGTTAGTGGTATAATAATGAATTGTTAGGAACATACATAGTTTCCAATTTGGTGATCTTTTTTCTTAAATCGAATAACTACTTAATTAAGTATTACTCCGTATAGCCATGCTTCAATAAGTTAACAATATACTCGGGAGGTGTTCTTACCCACAAGTATCTACGTAGTATATATACTTTAAGAATAATTTATAGATCAACAAATTATAGAATAATGATGGTAGCTCGATAAACCGTCAGTAATATTTTAGAGATATACGAGTAGAGAGAGAAAGTATTTTGTACTAAATGAGTTTTGAACCCTTTACAATTGTCCCTAATGAGATATTTATACTAGCTAGTAGTAATATAAACAATGAACGGTGCACTAAACACACGTAGACGTATGGGCCAATCTATGAGGGGAGTACCCTAATGTATTGCAGAGAGTGACTCGTGTTATTCCTTAACCGACTTCTAGGTAGATATCTTTTGTTGGCTGAGATAATGTTGCTCGAGGTGTCAGTGCGGCTCAGACCTATTGTTCTTCCTGATTCTGAGCGAATCTATTTGGGATCTCTGGATAAGCCTGGTCGAGGTGTGATATATGATGTGACTAGTACGAACATTAGTTGTAATTTTGTATTGTGGATTGAATTTGGTTGAGATGCCCAGATGACGGTACGAGCTGAGATGGATTGTTGTGTGTCCAAGAGCATGTGAACCGTTAATATGAGCCTATATACTCTATCAAATCCATGATAAATACATGAATGATCACTAAAAATGTGTGATCTATCTATTGGACATATGGACAAGTATACTAGCTACTCCGTAGTATATATAATTGATCCAATCATTCCATCGGCCTAGGTGTTTGTTTAAATAATAATTTATTATAACAGAAATCGTTGAATATTGACGTGAAACAAAAAATCACTGCAAGTCCTTAAGTTTTCAAATTCACCCACATATTTAATTGGTCTCCTGTCAAGGAATACGTATATGTTACAACCGGCTGAACGGTGAGCACCGTACAGCCGGCCTAATAACAAACCCAAAAGAAAAATAGCAAAATAATTCGGTGGCATTTTTATAATTAATGTGAAAATTGCGGCTTCTGTTAAATGAGCATTAGTGTACGGTTAATGAGCAATAGTCCAATTTTAATGAGTATTAAGCGTCTAATAATGAACACCGTGTTATTACAAGAAAGTTGATATCACAACTAAAAACGGCGACATTTCGTAATTTCAATAAAAATCGCGGTTTTCGTTAGATGAGCATTAATACACTTTTCATGAGCGTCGGACGTATTCTACTGAGCATTAAGAGTCGAATAACATATATTGTAATTATAACTATCTTTTTCTTATTTTATCTTTTATAAAAACTCATTAAATGATATCTATAATCAACTTCTATAAACTTCAATATGTGAATTTAATGTATTATGATACTTTTGAAATATGCATTGATATGTCATTTTAAAATGAGCATATATTAGTATCAAATGAGCATACACAACTTTCAAAATGCGCATAAATATGAAAATTGTAAGGTTTGTTAGTTGGACGTCATGACATTTTCATTGACCATCAAACCTCCTATATTGAGATGAAAATAATGGTTTCTGTTAAATGAGCATTAATGAACAGAGATGGGTTCGAGTAAAAAAAACTACTTGGTCGGGTTCGAGTCTTTACCCGCTCGTATATGGCTTATAAAGACTTTTTACAAGAGCTCTAAACTAGTTTTTTTACAAGAGCTCTAAACTAATGTAAAGTTATTTTTGCATTGCATTTAAATTTTTGCTTGTTTTGAACTATTTCAATTTAATTACAGTTAAAAAAATTGAATACACTTTGTGAAGTTTAACAATTCATTATTACATTTAGTATACTCCCTCCGTTCTTTAATATTAGTCCTCCTAGGCTTTGACACGGGTTTTAAGAGGAAAATAGTAGGGGTAGTGTAAAAGGTGTAATGAGTAGTGGGTAAATAAAAAAATCGGGAAAGAGAAAGGAGTGATATTAATAAAAGTTGGGGTATAAAGGTATATTTAGAGTAAAAACTTTCCTTAAATGGAAAGGACGGCCGATAAAAAAACGTCCCAAAAAGGAAAGAAGGATTAATAAAAAAGGACGGAGGTAGTAATTAATTTTTAAATATACTTGTGCATTCGCAACTTAAGTTAATTCTAAATAAATAATAGACCTATTTCTTATTTGATTCTTATTGCTAACATAATTTTGAATAAATTACAATTTACAAACTATGTGATTATTTTTTTAACAAAGTAAAAACAAATTGTGCCATGAAATTTTTAAGTATGATATGGTAATAATTTCGTCTCGTGAATATTTTGTTATTTTAATTGATTATACACTATCTTTTATTATTGTGGTTGTTGTTTATGACATGTCAGATAGTTTGTTTAAATTCACTCCCAGTGACAAAAATGTGTGGATACGTTAATGCTGACTCTATAGATTTCGTTTTTGCTTGAAGTCATCCAAATAAACAAGAAAAATGCTTGAGGTTGTGTTGGAAACCATGAAGACCAAGACCCTCCCAATTCTCATTAGTTGGAATTTGGAACTTAAAGGGGTGAAAATGACAATTTATGAACATTTAAGTGCAGTTAATAACATCGGAAACGCTCCGGCGTATATACCAAAAAGATATGTCCGCTGAGTCGATTCATATAGCCACCGGAGACGTATAAATCCGGCGGCAGAGTTCATCATCTTCTTCAATTCATTGGCAAGGAAAATGATTTCCGTCAACCCAGTCGTAGCGCGCCCACATTTCTTCACCGGAAAGCCAATTTGTCCAGCGTCCCGCACCACCGGCGCGACAGCCGCAACCACGCGCCGCCGTTTCTCCCCAACTTCTGCCAATATCTCTGCTAAGCAAATCGTCGAGCACGTGGTGCTCGTCAGAACCAAACCGGAAGTCGAGCATTCTAAGATAAACGACATGGTCAACAACCTCTACAAGCTCTCTTCCCTTCCGCAGGTTCTCCATCTCACCACCGGTCCGGTCCTCCGTACCCAATCGCCGACGCTATCGTTCACACATCTCTTACATTCTCGGTACGAATCGACATCGGATCTCGAAGAATACAGCACGCACCCTCTTCACTTGTCTGTAGTCAGGAATTTTCTCTTCCCTGTTATAGACGACATCATGGTGGCCGATTGGATCGCCGACGACTTTTCCGGTTCCGTTGAGGTCGGCCCTGGTTCCATCATCCGAGTTAAATTGTTGAAGTTGAAAGAAGGGTTGTCTGAAAATGAGAGAAAGGAAATTGTAGGTGTAACTAAAGGACTCAAGCAAAAATTCTCGCCGATTGATCAGTTAACTGTTGGAGAAAATATTGCTCAGGCGAGGACGAAGGGGTTTTGTATCGCCTCAATCGGAGTATTTGGAGGATTGGGTGCTATCCATGCGTTGGATGCCCAATCGGCGGCGCTAAATGACCAGAAAGACGGCGTGAGAAGATTTGTTGAGGACGTTGTGGTGGTGGATTATGCCCTTCCTGCAAAGATGCTAATTACATAATTAATGCTTGAATGTCTAGAGTACATTTGAAGTTTTTTTATTATGAGGGTTTGACCATAGCAATGGTCCATCAATATCTTTTTAATTTTTTATGCTAAAAAGTTTATCTATGTTGAAATATTATTGAATTAGTCATCTTTTAACTATTCCTGATTAGAAATTATTATCACCATTACATAAATAATTAGGAAATCATAATTGTGATTTCAATGTGATAAATGTGTGGCTCACAATGATCTCCTAATCTCATTGAGCTCACACTTTCTCCTATAAATAGGAGTCATTCTCATTGTAATTAACACATCATGGTTACACCATTATCACACTCTCAATAACATAATCTATCACTAAGTGTTCATACTATACTTTCTCTCTCTGATCTTCTGCTTATTTCCTTCCATATTATAACAATATATGGGAAATAGACCCAAATAAGATTAGAACATAGTCCGTGTACCTAAATAGGACCGACTACTTTTATATACTGAATAGGACTAATAAATTAGCTAAAGACTAATCTTATGTTCTCCCCCGGTGTCACTGACCTCATCTTATGTTCTCAGCCCCTCCCCCTCTCTTTATGAGTGCAGCCACGAGGACGGTGAATTCAGGTCAGTGATTCAATTTCAAACTACCACCATCGTTTACACGGATGCAGATAGAGAATCATTTGCGCGCCTTAGTATTCCTTTCTCAAACCATGGCTGTCTGGCTGATGCTAAAGTACACTTGTCCTATTTGTGGATGTGATTTGTGTTTACCTGCAAACAGCCTCAGCCATCTCGGAGAATGAGTGTTATACGATGGTGGGGGCTTATGCAGCTTTCAGTGATGCCGCATTTGAGACATTTAGTAACCAAATTGAGGCTCATTTTGTATCCAGCAGGATTGTGGTCTAGTGGCCTACAATATAATTAGAGCAACTCTGAACTGATGGAAGAACTGAACGTAAATCAACTCTGTCCAGAAATCCTACTTTACATTGCAATGCAGGCAGACATGTAAATAGTTGTGTTTCTTTAAGTATCGATACTCATGATAGCTTATTCAAATCCTGAAAACAATCACAGAAGAGTTTTTTTTTTTACCAAAATAGTCCCCCATTTCAAACGAAAAACTATTATTACAAGAGTAAATAAAACCCTCTATCTTCCAAATCAAACTAGCAAAATCTCATATCTGAATAGTGTTCTCATGGTAGAAAATAAAACACACTACAGTATAACGGACTAGGAGGGGACAAGTAGTGGCAGCAAGAATTTCCATACTCCACAAAGCCGCTGCGCTGAAGAAGTCACCTCCTGCAATTGAAGAAGTCGCAGTCTACGATCGAAGAACCCGATGAGTGAGCAGCGAGCTACGGAAATCTTCTCCTCTCGTACCCTGGTGCAGTTTGAAAAAGCCGCAGTTCTATCTCATCTTCTCCAGACTTTTTCATCTAAACTTTTACAGTTCAATTTGTTTTTAGTTTGCCCCTAATATCCGCAGCTCTTTGTTTTTTTTTTAAGTCTTAACCTTACACTGCTTTACTTTACTACTACGTATGTTTTTAGTTTTTAGTTTACTCTGTTTCTAGCTTAAAATTTACACTTTTTCCATCTGTTTTCTTGATTAATTAAATTTTAGTTTATTCCAATTTATTCATTTCAATTTAATGATTAATTGATTTTTAGTTTATTCCAGTTTATTTCTTTCAGTTTATTGATTAAATATTTTCAGTTTATTACTTGATTTACTTCAGTCCAATTATTCCACCAAGTAATAACGTCTTATGTGTTTCTTTTCAAAAGTAAATTGTGTTGTCTTATAAGTCTGAATTGTTCTTTGTACAATTCTATTGTCTTATAAGTTTGAATTGGTCTTTGTACACTTGCCTGATGTCTTGATTAAATATTTGTGATTACCCTTATGATTAGTTTTGCGTTTCTGCCTAATTAATTGTGATGTATCTTTTGAAACTTTATGCCGCACTAGTATTATTCTTAATGAATTTTATGACTACTTATGCATTTTTGGCATAACTATACATTATGAGCCCGTTTGGTAGCACCAAAATCGGCTGTTTTGGCTGATTCTGCTGAAATTTATGATATTCTGGCTGGAGTGGCTGTTTTGGCTGATTCTGCTGATTTAAGAAAAAAATATTTTAAAAATATATTTTATTAATAAATTAAAGAAAAAATTATATGTAAAAATAGCTAAAATGGTCTTCTACAGTAACTTCAGCCAATACAGCCAGAAAAGTAACTCCAACCTTACTTTTTCGGCTTATTACACAATTCAGCGCGCGAAAGTAAAAGTTACGTGTTTGGTGAAAAAGCTGGCTGATAAGCCTGATAAGCCGAAAACAGAGTTCTCCAAACGGGCTCTATATATTATATTTTTATTATTTTTATAAGCACAACGTTTTGTGAAAAGCTATGCTTCGCTTAGCGCCTTCGCTTTAAAGCAAAGCCGAAGGTCATCACTTTTGGCCGTTTTTCGCTTTAAAAAAGTTAGGCGTGCTCCAAACAATAACATTGAGGATGACATTAAATACGAAGAAATTCCACTTTTGATCCTTCGAGTATCACATCAAATCCACAATTGATTCACGTCTTGGACTTTGACCATTTTTGGTACATGACTATTATGTTTTCATCCGTATATGGTCCTTTGTCAATGTGTTTGATGATTAAAATCGTCGAAAAAGGATCACAAATAGTTAAAAAACATTAGTGAAGTAACATAGTGAACAAACTGAAAGACGTGGACTAAGGATGTTTTCTTTTAGACTGAAATTTGCTGGTGTGGTCTGGTCTTAACTGGTCTGATAAACGTCTGTTCTCTGTGTATTTTATAAGTACGGAAGTCTGGTCTGGTCTGGCCTGATCTGATCTGGGACTGAAAACAGTTCAAAAGAAAACATCCTAAATGTGAACTTGACAAAGTTCATAATTTCATATGATCAAAAGTGAAATTAATTTCATTAAATACAGTGAAGGACAATTTGTGCGACTAGAAGACAGCATTAGAAAATAAAAGACAAAAAAATCAGCACTATGTTATTAAAAAAAACAGCACTATGGAGACGTTATATTTGTGTGGACTGAACATTCAAAGGATACTGAACAAAGTACAAACCCAATAAATAAAAGTTGCTCGCGAGCAAAGTCGAAACAAACCATAAACCCTATGATGTAATGAAAAAGAAATTTCATAGGGATGACATAAATACAAAACGTCCGGGACTTATTTAAATTGGACCAAATCAATAGCAGATAATAAATTTAGGTTCGTACTCAACTAAACAATAATAAAGCTCAATCACTAGGATGAAAGTAATAAAAGGAAATCTACCGGAATCCATTAAAATCCATCTAAATAAGTAAAAATAGAAATCCGAACCTCTGAGAACACCTTGATTTTTATAGATTCCACCGAAATCCAAATCGGGAACACCTAAGTTCTGACGGAATTCCAAATTCTATTAAAATCCATATTGGGGACACCCCTAAGGATGTTTTTACTTAGACCATACAAGACCAGACTCAAACAAATCAGACTTAAACAGACCAAGCAGACTTAAAAGTAGGAATGATTTAGAACCACACAAACTTTACCAAATAAGATATGAGACAATCATAGTGAAACGGACCAAAATGGTAAAATGAATCGATCATAGCGGGACAGAGGGAGTAGTTACACAAGTACATCTACATGACAATAAAGTTATTGAACTAATTAGTAATAACGGATACAATCGAAAAGTACGTTTTTATAAAAAAGTTGTATTACTTTTTAAAGTTCAATAATATCTCTGAGATTGTGGAAATGTTTATGAAATATACAATTATACATCCAGAGGCGTCTTTAACATTTCGGGGGCCCTAGACAAAAAATGTTAACTATGCGTGAATCATATTAAAAGTGAGATAAATTGAATAAAATACCACGTATTATTAAAAAACATATTTTAGGAGCACAATCGAATGCTTTTAGAATGCAAAATGACAAGTTTTTAAATGCAAACATTTGTAAAAATCACAAAGAAATCAATAAACATAAAAACCTAAAACTTCTAAATACAATGATAATTAAAATAAAATAACTACTTTACTAATACTAATGCCATCAAATTAATTATTTGATGTATTTATCAATTGTCATATAATACATACAAATGTCAAATCAATATTGTCCTATAAATTTTAAAAACGTTGTAGTAGTTTCAAAATTGATTTGAACTCAATAATTTAGGGATTTCAATAGTTGTAGTAGAGACTCCTGATTAAATTAGACCAATACACCATGCGTTGGCTGTCCATATGTACATCAGTTATTGTATTTGAATATTGGGGTAATGTCTAAAATATTACTAAAAAGTGAGAAATGGACAAAAAAGAGACCTTTTTAAGTTCCAAAAATAAGACTAAATAATGAGTTTTTTGTCCTAAATAGGACTAAAATGTTGCTTAAATTCCAAAATAGGAGTATGCATACTTTTATTCCCTAAATAGGACCTAAATACCTCTTTTACCCCTCCTGGCCCTCCAATTAACTTTTACGGATTAACACCCCCTACCCTCCTCTCATTCTTTTCAGGTCTCCGTCTGCAACGGGAGCTTTTATATGAAATGAACGAATCGAGCTGCGAAGGAGCCACGATCGGTGACAGGTGGAGACGAACAACGGCAGCAGAAAGCAGTAGCGAGTGATGGCGAGCGGAAAAAGGAGCCACGTCGAGCGGCAGTGGCCATCGGCGAGCAACGAAGGAGCCGCGACGAGCAGTGGTGACCGACGACAAGCTTTGTTCGGATCTGGAGGTGAAATTGAGGTTTGTTATTTTTCCCTAACTATCTCTTCCTTCTCTCTTTCTCCCTCTTTTGTTGCATCACAGATTCTGGAAATTTCAGAGGTTCAGCATTCAATGATGGCAACAACTTCAAAAATCTTCTTTGTTTTTTTTAAATGTCAAATTTTGCTTTAAAAATGCCATTCCACCATGGCATTTTACTATTCAAAATGTCATATTCTGTTTTGCAAATGCCCATAAGATGGCATTCTCGTCTTGAGATTCTGATATAAATTTTGACATTAAGATGGCATTCCCAATCCAGGTTTGGCATTCTAACTAGAATGCTGGCATCAACGGCGGCGAAGGCTGGATCTGCAACGCTGAGGTCGGATCTGCAGTGGTGGAGGCCGGATTTGTGGGGGCAACGGTCGGATCTATAGGGCTGGCTGCCGATGATTTGGAGACGGCAAGATCTACGTCAGAGGCGGCCAGATCTGTACCGCCGGTGGTCAGATCTGTAGCGGCGGCGACCGGATCTACTACGACGATCAGTTTTGAGGCGGTGGCCGGCGGTGGACGGCGGTGGACGGCGGTGGACGGCGGTGGCAGTGGACGGCGGTGACGGGAGACTGGCGGTGGTCCGGCGTACTGTTGGCAGCAATATGTTTCCAAGCTTCAGGGGTGTTTTTGTCTAACTCTAACTAATAACTCTTATTTAGGGAATTTTTAAATTTTAGTCCTGTTTTAGCAATTAAAGATTTATTTACTCATATATAGGTAAATCACCCCTAAATAATACTTAAGTGACTGTTACACCCTTACTAAGCCCAAACCCACTAGCTGCTACAGTAACCCGTCACAGTGACCAAATGTGCAGTGACCAATGTTACAGTTACCAATGACATATATAGTTACAAAATTCAGCCAATGACAAAAAATTAAAACATTCCACTAATGACCCGCGTCGCAGTGACCAATGTCGACTATTGTCACAGTGACCAGTGACACGTATACACGGTAACATTGACATGTATGCCCAATGACCAGTGACTCGATGACACAGTGACTCCCGTCCAGTGACCAATTCCTAACGTAATTCCCGTACAGTGAACACCGCCGTAGTGACACGGTCGAATAGTGAGACTTACACCCGCCAAACACACGCCAGTGACCAAGACCGGCACCCTTTTGATGCCCGCCCCGCCGTCGCCCCGCCGCCAGCGACAATGACAGTGACTACCGACGACAATGACCTATTTTCACAGTGACTGTAGCTATTTCGGCGGGACTATTGCTGTGGCAGGCGGTGACTGCCGCTGCCTTGACTCCCAGAGTCCCAGCCCCTCCTCAGACCCCTCCCCATTCCCGCACCACCACTGTCCCACCCCTCCTCAACCCCTGCCACACTCTCCTGCATTTTTCATGCGTTGGATGCCCAATCGGCGGTGCTAAATGACCAGAAAGACGGCGTGAGAAGATTTGTTGACGACGTTGTGGTGGTGGATTATGCCGTTCCTGCAAAGACGCTAATTACATAATTAATGCTTGAATGTCTAGAGTACACTTGAAGTTTTCTTCTTATGAAGGCTTGACCATAGCAATGGTCCATCAATATCGTTTTAATTTTTTATGCTAAAAAGTTTATATATTACGGAGTATGATAAGAGAGCATCTCGGAAATATGACCAAAATATAAAAAATGCGTACATATATGGTTACTATTACTCTCTCCGTTCTTTTTTAATTGCAACGTTTCACTTTTCATGTTTGTCTACACTTAAGTTTAACCTTTAATATTTTTATTCCTTATTAGTAAAAAAAATTTAAAAATCATATTTTAAAAATTTAAAATGAGAGGAATTTAAAAATATATATAAAATTTTAATTTATAATACATTAATAAATAAAACATAATCAAGGCAGAATATATGACAGTGTAAAAGGTTTTATGTTGCAATTAAAAAAGCAACGGATGTAATATTACTTTCTAAAACATAATTCATTCAGTCCTAATTTTATTTGGAACAATTGTTTTTCATGTATTAAAATCATGCAAAACAATATATATTTAGTTATAACTCACCTAATTAAAAACTTATGAATAAATGTACTCCATATAAATTTTCCATGAAAATTAGTCGGACTCGCTACATATAGAATGAGCGTATCTATGCTTTTATAATAAAAGCCATATTTGGTTAGCATCGTCATTCTTCTGTTCAATTCTAACATTTGAGTTCGTCCGGGGCATTGGGAATTAACGATGTTAATTACGCGCTTCTTCAATTGCACCCGCCTACTCAAAAAGGCATTTACGCTACCTACAACCCAAGAAGATTGTTAGATTTTCTTCCAAAGAGAGCAAGTTTGCAATTCTCCACACTTCATCACTTCCAACTTCTCTTACACGAGCCAAAGTTATTCTCACCACATCAACCTTTAAACTCGTCTACTTCTTCATTTCTTCTAATGGATACCTTTCTTGGTCTGCACAAATTACATCTTACATAACTTCAACCACTTTAAAATTCATCTAAAGATGTTTTTATTTGTATTGTAATCTGTCTCAGACTATACTAGACCAGACCAACAAATTAAAGTCCAAATAAAAACATCCTAATTCAATGGTCACTACTTAGTATATAGAAGGTTCTTGTGACAGGTTGTTGTAAGAACAAAGAATATCAAATGAATATCCCAAAAATACATTTGCTTACTTATTGTTTAATCTCAATATCACAACTAATTCCTAACTCATCATTTAGCACGCTTGATAAACATGAAATTTCCTAAGATATGACTAAAACTCAATGAGTTATCCAATCTATGACCTAACTAGTTTTTGGACTTTTGTATGACCGAAAATTAAAAAAAAAAGAAATTTCGTTTATTTTTAATTTGGCCGTCATTACCTCCTTGGCACCCAGTTCAGTCAGAGATCATTCATCGGAAGGCGGCGGCTATGCTCCTAGACCAGAGATCTGTGGAAAGCGGCGGCTGTGCTCCCATGTGAGTCGGCGGCACTGGACGGTGGCCGGCAGCTCGACGGCGGGCAGAGGTTATAAGTGAACGGTTGTAGCTAGGGTTTTTCAAAAAAGGAGTAGGAGATTAGAGTTTTATAGGTATAACCAAAGGGTATGTTTGTCTCTAAAAATTATTTATTATTTAATTATTTCGAATGTCAATTAAATATTTCGAATTTTAATATTATTTACGGTAAAAACTGATTAAATGATAGATTAGGAAACTCATTCAGTTTTAGTCGTACATAAGGTAAATATCAACTTTTATTTTTTTACTCAAGTGTAACGTACGAGTTCTTATATACTCCCTCCGTCCCAATATAAAAGGCACATTTGCGTTTGGGGACTTTTTAAGGGTGAACACTGTTTGAACACTGTTTGGCACTGTTTAGACACTGTTTGGCACTGTTTGGACATTGTTTGGCACTGTTTGGCACTGTTTGACACTGTTTTGTTTGCCAAAAAGGGAAATGTGTCTTTTATATTGGGACGGACCGAAAAGGAAAGTGTGCCTTTTATATTGGGACAGAGGGAGTAGTTATTTTCTTAACTGAATATCTTAGGGATTATTAATTTAATAGTGAATGTAGCGATTAAACATAAATCAAAAGCTGATTAATAGTTGTACATAACTTTATTGTTGTAGATTTTGTTAGGTTAAACATGCTAGATTTCTTAATAAGAAAGTCTTCAAAAACTCTAATTGAAATAATAAAGGGGAAAAATACTCCTCTATTTCTATTTTATTTTTGTATGAGAGTTTACTTGAATGAGTGACAGGTGTAAGGTGTTAGTGATACATATGGTGGCGTTTGAGTAACGGCGGCTTTGCTTCAATCTGCCAATGTTCTCAAAAGAAAACGTTGCATTTTGCAGCGGATGGGTTTGGATCCGCCAACAATTAACAATTAACATAGAATATTTTTTCAATTTGGGAGCAACACCAACAACTTTGTTAATTCGGACAACACTTGCAAATATTAATAACATCACGTATATTATAGTAAGTATTAAGTAGCGTGTATATCAACTAAAACACATGCAATTATATGTAGTTACTAATAGTAATTTAAAAGGTATAAGTATATTTTTGTCAACTTAAGTTAAAACACATTCATTACTAACATTTCATCTTCTTAACTTTCACAAATAGGGCAATATTATGTATAACATTTACTTCTCATTCCGGGTCCCTGCCAATACTTTATATTTTTGTAACACTTTTGCTACTAACACTCCAACGACACTTCATCCAGACAGGCTTTAGGCTAAAACAGAACTGGATTTTTTAAATACAATCAATTTTAATTAAAGTAGTCGATTTATTTGAAGGGCAGAAGATGGGTTTGGCTAGAAAAAATGCTGTAATTAAAGGCCCTATTGGTTGGATGGTTTCGGAGGGGAGAGAAGGAAGTGAATGATTTGTGTGTGTTTGGTTGAAGGAAATAGGTCGGAGGAAGGTCGAAGGCTTCCAAATTTCTCCGTTTCCTCCCGTTGTCAAGACCCAAATTGGAACATTTCGGAGAAAACATGTTGATAATGACAATCTATCCTTCATTTTTCTCTCACGTTAATAGACAAAATGATGCAATATACGGAGTAATAAAATTTCAAAAAAATAAGAAATTCGAAAAATTGAAAATTAATAAATTCGAAAATTGAAAATTTCTAAAATGAAAATTTAAAAGAAAATTTAAAAATGAAAAATTCAAAAATTTAAAAATCAAAAATTCAAAAAAAATTATATTACTCGGTATAACTTATGACCTTAGGAATAATATTCATAATAGATGTATCTAGTTTTTATAGGGAGTATAAGTTATCAGATAAAGGCATTTTAAAAAGTAATTTCATTAAACTTTCGTTTTATTTCTTCCAATCAAACAGAAAGTTTTATCAAAATTCTTCATCCCTTTCATTTCCTCTTTGACTTTCCCTTCGTAAAAGTGACGGTTTAGATTCAATTGACTATTTCCAGACTTCATATTCCCGTTTATATCCCTCTCTGTTGTATGGAACATATATTCATCTCTCCTCCCAATGCTTCAGTTGACTATCTTCTTCATATTTCGTCCCCCATCGCCAGGCTTACTGATCGAGCACTAGCTTCACTGAAGGTATGTTATTTTTACCTCCGCCACATACCTTCTGCAATTGTATTATAGTACAGTAATAGCTACTATTCTTATTCTGTGTCAGAGTATTCGCTCATATGTATGTTCTTCGCTTGAAAACCATATGTAAAAAGGGGTCTTTATAATCCCAAATAATCTTCAGATATCTATTTGATTCATGAGAGACTTTCAATTAAGTAAACGGGGGGGGGGGGGGGGGGCGGGTCAATGAGGCCCAAATCAGATATCTATTTGATTTCGTTGCTGGATGGCTACCACAAGACGGGGTTCCCTTTGTCAGTGCCAAGGATGGATTTAAGGGGCCCGGGGCGATCACCCTCGACTTTCAAATTTTTCTACTATATATGTAATGATTTTAGACTTTTGTTAGATGTGTATGTTTTCGCCCCATATTATCTTTTAGTTTTCAAAATTAATATATAAGCTCACATAATGTAATATTTAATTGGAGATCTAAGAGAAGTAAAATCTGAAATTTACATGATTTAAACAAATAAACAATAGAACAACTCATTGTTTAAGACTTAGGATACCTATTATATCAAAATTCTTAGTTTTATATTGTTTAATTATCTTTATTAGATAATTAGTACTCGATTTTGTAAAATATCAATGATATTAAATATCATACACAATAGATAAACAATTTTTAGATGATGTAAAGTGAATCTGTAATATAAATGTTTGTTGAAACTAAATTACACAATCAATTTACTTCTTACTTTGTAAAAACAATTTGTTGCATAGATAATAAACTCTTAGCATTAATACAGATATAATATGCATCATGTATATATGAATTAACAATACTACGTATCATATTATTCTAAAACTAATAATATCATACATAATATTGTAATTTTAAGAAAACTCATCGTGATCCAAGAATATCCTCCTTCTTAGACAAAAATTGCAATCCAAAAATCGATTTCTTATTTTGATAAGATTCATGTGGTTAAACAAAGCAAAAATTATTTACAAAGTATCGGTCCATGTGTACCTTTTAAACTCTTTACCTTCAAATAATTTGATAAAATGTTATATAATAGATTTAAATGTTATCGTGTATTAAGTCATGGATTTTTTGAAAAAAAATTAGCCGCAGAGTCCTACACTAGCGAAAAATTTGGCCCGGCTACACTAGCAAAAAAAATTTCGCCCTGCTACACATGAGGAAAAATCCCCCCACCACATTAATGAAAAATTTCGCCCCCTTGATTCAAAATCCTGGATCGTCCTGGTCAGTGCAAAAAGGAATAGTACGTTCATACATACCTACTGAACTCTGTAGAAACTCTACCATCTTTATGTAGAAGCTATGATATTTTTGTTAGAAGAATGTGGCCTTTTGCTTTCGTGGAAACAAAAAGTTAAATATTGTAAAGGGTTTTAATAGATTGTGGTTGAAGGCTGTTATTATAAAGGTCCATGGATTTTCAACGAATTGGGCATTACTTTGAATGATGGGGAAAAGAGGAGTAGGATCTAGTCACAGCTGCAAACTGCTAGCTGTCCAGCTAATTTGTAAGACACGTGAAGTTAAAACAAAGTTCTTGACTATATTATGCTTTTAATGTGTATGTAACACTTCAATTAAAACTTTGCCTTATTATGTTAGTGTATATAGAAAATATATTATCTTTCACTTTCTTAAACCATTTTGTGAAGAGGAGAAATCTGGAGGCCTTAAAACCACTTCACCCACACCAAAATTCAGGGCTAAAGTAGGGCTGTTACCCTTCTTTTCTTAGTTTGGCATTGTTCTTTGTTTTCTGTATTTTAAAAACTGATAGTAGACTTTAAAAAAATTATAAAAGCCCGTCCCAAGCCTGTTTTTGTGCAAGTTCTTAGTATTTTTGTTCTAAATGTAAACTTTACAAAAACTGGTAATAAATTTTACTCTCCATTATAGGAAAACAACGTAAGAACTTTACAAATTCTACTTCAAAGCAGTCAAGGCAGAGTCCCTTTGAGAGGGGAATCAGTCTATAATAGACTGGTCTAGCTTCAAGTTCTTCCACCTTTGCATATCAAAATTGTCTTTATATCCTTAGCTGTTCTTTATTTTTGTCGTAGGCTGATTTGCTGCTTCAGGTTTGAAAGGGAAACCAAGTTTCTATACTCGTTACATTGAGATTGACGAAACAAAAACTTCACTGAAACGTTTGGAGAGATAAAGAAAAAAGAATAGAAAATGAGTAGACATTGACATTTAATACTTAAAGTTCATAGTAATCCATGATTCTTATTTCATATGTTACTAAAATGATCATTGAGGCACTCTCTCACAATTAAAACATGATCATCATGTTAAGGCAATTAATTTGTTCCTATGTGATTAATCGTAGTGCAAGTGGGGATTTCGAAAAACGCCCTATGAGACTATGACAATCATAGAAGTATGATTGTGGTTGGATATTTTATGTTTATAAATAAATATAGTTATGAATTCATTTTATAGTAACCAACATAGTTCTTTATTAATAATTAGTCTCTGAATATTATTTTTAAGAATATGACTGGTCTTAAGTATTATAAGTTACACGGTTCTTATAAGTATAATTAGTCCATGGTTGAACTGACACGAACTGCCCTCTACACATATATACATATAATTACACACAGAGGTCTGAGAGGTAGCAATAACTTGGGACCTACCATGATATGATCTAGTTTTCTAGAAAATGCAATCTGCATTGGTTAACGGAAGGAGCAAAAGTTAGGCTTTGTTTGTAACTACTTGTGCTTAAATAAAAGCACTTTTTGAGAAAAAATGATTAGTAGTAAAAGTTGGTAGTGTTTGGTAAAATAAGTGCTTTTTGAGTAATAGAAAAAGTAAAAAGTAGATTCTACACGAAAACCAAGATAGTAAAAGTTGGTAGTGTTTGGTAAAATAAGTGCTTTTTTCTTAAAAAAAAGCCAAAAACACTTATAAATAGAGTTTGCAAACAGAGCCTTATTCTATTTAATCATCTTTTAATACTTTCCATGCCTTCCTTGTATTTATACTTTGACCATTTAATGATTAAAAATGACCGGCATACTTTGTTTGGATATGTTTCTAATTGATTTACTTATTTGTGTTTAGATATTCATGCACACTTCTACTCGTACTAATATTAATTATGTCCAACATCATATTTGTCCAATTTATTCTATGTAATAGTTTCTAAAGTCATGATGGATCACTATTTGAGTAACTCTACATCTATCATAGTTCTATTATTTGGAATTTAACTAAAATAGTGTTTTCGTATTAACGGGAAACTACATCTATCCTAACAATAGATAGAAGCTAATACTAATACTTATAAAACAGAGTTAAATGCCATTTTTGTAAAGAAGGCCAAATCAGTGAGATTCTTTAACAAGCTCTTGCTACATCCAGGTTTGAAGGAAGAACTATATGAGTCCAACATGAGGCATATATAAAGATGGAAGTCTTTCAAAATCATGGTTGATGCAATTGGATGCACAATGACTGGTTAACTTTGTATTGCTTTGCATCATTGCAACCTGACAATTAACTTAATACATTATGGGGAATATCCAAGCATCACTTATCCGTCAGCCTCCGCCTCCACCCTCTCAACACCCTCGCTCATCGATTGCTGCCAATGAGGAAGAAGAAGAAGCTCTAGAGGTATCACATTATACAATTGTATAGTATAGACGTTCATTATAATTTTGCCAACGTTCCTTTAATTATTTATAGCGTAAAAAATTTCGTCGATTTCCCTTTAGTAATTAATTAGTAAATCCTATAATTTCTATCTTCTCCACATAATCTTCAATCATATAAGAAACAAAGGTAGTATGTCTTTGCTTATGCTCATCTCACCATTAGGAACAAGAATGTTAATAAGACAACGTACATACATTGACATCATTGTCAAATGTGTTGACTCCCTTTGAGATTCACAAGCCTTGGATGAGGAGTGCTAATTCACTGGAATGTAAAACTAATAGAGTGCATGGTACACGTCAACCTTTCGGCAAAAAGTCTAAAGGAGGTAAAAGATGAATTTTCAAAGTTTATACTTTATATTAAGTTGAACTACAATTATCAATAGTAATAATGGTAGCCTTAATAAATAACAATTTTAACTAAAACAATAACGATGATTATAATAATAACCATATAATAATAATTATTATAATAGTAATAATAATAATAATAATTGTTATAATAAACTAATTTTATTCAGATTTGATCTCAATGTTTCTGATCTAAATGTTTCAAATCTGATCTATTATTATCTTAATGTGTTTGATCTAATCTAAATCTTTCCGACTTTATTTGACCTAAATAATATAAGAATAAGCAATAAGCAATCTCACACACGCTCTTTTCAGTTTTCAACATCTTCAATATGATTAGCAAATATTTTCACATCCTTTTTGTAATCATTGAAAATTAAAATGTGAAAAACTAATACTGCGTGTTAAATAGTTAGATGCTTGGAGAAAGACACTCGATGCTCAAATTTAGCATACCAGTTCAGTTGAGTATACACTGAAGTTAAGCATTTGACCCTACCATAGGCCCACCGCCCACCTCTCTTGCTCATGTCTACATGAGTACATGACAGGAAACTGCATAGTTACTCCTCAAATCGTACCCCAACCAATGACATTTTAGGGGGTAACTTTGACAGTTGTATAATGTCTTCATAATTGATGGAAATATGGTGCGGTGAAGTATGTATGAGTGTGTTTAGGACTTTGCATTGGGTGGGTTCTATTTGCAACAAAAAGGAGATGCAGGAGAATTCTCAATGTGAAGCCATACCATCTATAAACATTGTGTAACAATCATTACCTTGCTACCCTAAACCATATGTAATCCTCTCAACAATAAAAACGATCCCTCCAAATCAATCCGTGATGCTTGGAAGGAAAAAATAGATCAAGTTGGTTTTATTATGAAATTCTTTTAATACGCAGATTGCAGGGGGAAATTATTATTTGACAAGGTATAGAAGGAGGTTGTCAAAAAGTTTAATGTCTCTTCACGATGATATGCTGTTTGAAGTTCTTACACGTGTCCCGGCTCAAGATATTTATGACGCGGCAATGTATGTCTGTCGGAAGTGGTATCGTATAATTCATACCCATAAGTTCATAGATTCACACCTTCGGCATTCACCTCATGGTCTTCTGCTTCGTTGTCCGCATACACCTGCACCTTTTATGGTGGCTAGACAAGGCCAATTGGAGACATCTTATTTAACTAAATTCAAACACCGTGTTTCAGCTGGTTGTAACGGTCTGCTTTTGGAATTTGAATACAACGATACATCTCATATCGTTTTATGGACTCTTTATATAGTAAACCCTGTAACAAAGCAAGTTTTTGTGCTCCCTGGAATTGAAAACGTAAATGGTTCCAAATTTTTTGGTATATCTTATGCTGCAACTTCCATGGTGTATAAAGTGGTCGCAATTGTTCTTGGTCCTCAGCTAAAAATATTAACAGTGGGGGTGGATGATTCTTGGAGGAGCGTTTGTACCAAACACTTGCGTCCTCTTGCTAGGAGTGGACTTGCCGAAATTTCCCCCCTTACAACGGAAGGTTTTATGCATTGGCCGACTAGTGTATCTACAGTTGTGACTTTAAATGTGGAGACTGAAATGGTTGAGGAGAGCAGTGGCCCGATCCCTCAAGGTCATGGAGCTCCTGGGAGTGCCTGGGTGTCGACGGGAAGCAAGTTGTCTTACTTGATGAAGTTTGAGAGGTTCGGATGGCATGTTTGGGAGATGGAACCAGAAAGCAAAGAGTGGAGAAAGCTGCCAGATATTGTTATTAGCTTGAAAGATCAAAAGAGGAAGTTCCAACGGTTGGGTTTGGAAAAGGGGCAACAGCTGGAGCCAATTGGCTGGATAAAATACAAAGAGCTGTTAGCCTTGACTGTGAGTCGCGTACTTGGGACATTCACCGTTTTTGTGTACAACCTTGTCACACACGAAGTTGTCAAAGTGGATCTGCCTGACTGGGTTGTGAGGCACTCGGTTGTACCCCATCAGAATAGCTTGGTATGGTTGCCTGGATCCTCCTAATACTCTTCTACTATGAAGAGTGAATGTTGTTCCACCCCCTCACAAACTTTTTTATTAAGTCGATCATCATGTATGCATTGGAGGGGTGAAGTTCATTTACTTTTAATTTCCAAGATACATGTACTTTTTTACTTTTAATTTCTGAAAAACTGATTCTGATTATAAAAGATACATATAACTTTTTCTTTATTTTATTAATAAAATATATTTGAATGTATTTTTTTCATAGTTCTGCACTTCTGCAGAATCAGCCAATCTGGCCGCTTCAGACAAAGCTTCATAAATTTCAACAGAATCAGCCGATTCGGTCAATTTTAATGTCATCAAATGGGCTCTAAATATAAAAATAAGTTTTGCCTTTTTCTTTAAAAAACAACAAGTACGAAGTATTTCTTAACTTCAACTCATTATAGCCCACTAGGTGCTGCTCACGACTAACGGGAAAGATTAACCCCGTTGGTCATTAAGGATTAGCTCCCGTCAGTAGTGTATTAATTTCAATGATTTAAAAACCAATGATTACAAACCAATGATTAGCCCTTAAGTTCGGTTAAACCTTGTTTGGTTTATACATTTTGTTTTACTACTCGTTTGGTTTATACAATTTTATACCAATGATTACAAACCAAGCGGTTAAACCTTGTTTGGTTTATACATTTTGTACACTCGTTTTTGTATACAAATAATTCATTCAAAAAATGGATAAATTATTTGTATGCACAAACAATTTATGGACAATTTGTCACTATACAAAAAATTGTACAAATATAATTTTGTTATCTTTAATTCAAAAAGATCGATTGTATTGTTAATTTGCCGGGCTTTAATCCTAAATTATTTATGCACTAGCTTTCAAGCCCGTGCGATGCACGGGCAGTACATAATTTAGCTAATTGTAAATTTGATATTTTCGAAATCATATATGTAGTATAATTTAATGTGATTCAAAAGTAAAATAAACTCAGTCTCATATAAAGCCGTTTGATAATACCAAAATGAGTTGAATTGTCTGACTCTACTGTAATAAATTAAATCTAACTGATTGGGTTAAATTGACGGAATCTTCCAAATTATGAAAAAGGGATGGCTGAACCGTGTCATACAAATTAATACAAATTATGAATTAAATCTACTGTAACTAAATTTTATGAATGACGTACTTCATCATCTAAAAGTTAGTTCTTACAAATAAATTTTCAATCTACTTTATTTTTTATTACAAATAAAAAAAGGATGCTAAATCCGTGTCATACAAATTAATACGGAGTAAGTAGAGGTTCTCAAAAAGTTACGTAGTATAAATAAGGTGGATTCTATATAATCGTACAATATTTTGTTTCCATATCAATATGCAATAAAAATAGAATGTAATAAAAAATAAAAAGCATAAAAAGTAATTAATAATTATTATATATGATGACATTGCAGGATTATGTGGCACACCGTATGCTCTTAAAAAGTTCCTCTTTTATATATATATATATATTGATTTTAGTCAAACTTTACAAACATTTCCATAATTTCGGTGGTATGAGTATTTTATTTTTACTCAGATTAGTAGCGCAATTTATACCGTGCAACCGGCGCACCATGAGGATGGTACGCCCGGTTGCAAAACGATGCACGCTTCATTCAAAACGACGGAGTGCCTGGTTTCTTTTTTTTTTTTTTTTTGCTTTTGTTGTTAAAAAATGATAATAACTTTTTTATTTTTGCTCCGATTTTTATAAAATTTATATCAATATTTTTTATTTTTCATGATCTTTCAAATGAGACCAATATTGCTTATGAAATTTTAAGAAATTATCGAACTATTATATTAATGAGTATTGGTTTATAAAGAAAATCGAACTAAATTTAATATAGAAAAATAATTGTGTAAATCACAATTTATCTTAAAATTGAGTTTATAAAAAATTTATTGTATTATGTATTTATACATGTGAATTACATATTTTTATACGTGAAGTTACATATTTTTACACGTAAAGTTACATATTTCTACATGTAAGTTACATATATATACACATGAGTTGCATATGAATTGCAGGGAGATGATAAGTTTGTGAAATAGAAGATCGAATCTGTTTGGGAGTGGATCAGTGGCCTCAGTTACATTTGATAATTGAGTTACATCTTTTTATGAGCGAGTTACATCTTTTTATAAGCAAGTTACATATATATACACACGAGTTGCATTTGACCTGCCTGAACGCGAGTTACATATATTTACACGTAAAGTTACATATTTATATACGTAGAGACGGTAGAGTTACATATTTTTAAACACGAGTTGCATTTGGCCTGACTGAACATGAGTTACATATTTTAACACGTAAAGTTACATATTTGTACACGCAAATGTTAATATGTTAAAATTACATAGGCAATATTGGTCTCATTTGAAAGATCATGAAAAATAAAAAATGTTGATATAAATTTTATAAAAATCGGATCAAAAATAAAAACGTTATTACCATTTTTAAAAAAGAGAGAAATAAAAAATAATGAGGCCAACTGCTAGAACTACGTCGTATTGGTGGCGGGTGTACTATGCTCATAGTGGGCCGGTCGTATGGTATACGAACTGATTAGTAGAGGCCTAGGTAGACTTTAATTAAATAGAAATGTCTCTTGCTTTACGAAACAAGCAAGAGACTTTACAAATGTCTCTTGCTTTACGACTCAAATTAGTAGAGGCCTAGGTAGACTTTAATTAACCGCTTGGTACAAAATGTATACAAATCATTGGTTTGTAATTTTTTCCATAAACTTCAACTAAGGATTAGCCCGTTAGTCATTAAGGATTAGCTCCCGATACTAGGTGTTTTTTTTTTTGAAAAACAACAAGTAGGAAGTATTTCTTAGCTTCAACTCATTATAGCCCACTAGGTGCTGCTCGCGACTAACGGGAAGGATTAGCCCCGTTAGTCATTAAGGATTAGCTCGCAACTGGTGGCACTCCCTCGCTACCAGTTGAGCTACGCCCACCGGTCTTGTATTTATTCTTGGTAGTGTGACCGTTTAAAATATAACGTACACTCTTAAAAGAGGAACCCCAATATATCTTCTTAAGATACATTATTACTTTTAATTCTAAAGAACTGATTACACATTCAAAAATAAAATAAAATTGTCTTTAATAAAATAAAATAAAATTGTCTACTTTATTGTCTTTAATAAAGAACTGATTACACATTCAAAAATAAAATAAAATTGTCTTTAATAAAAATAAAATAAAATTGTCTATTTACTTTATTAAAAACAATAATAGAGTTAAAAAAATAAACTGTAAGTTTTAATAACCTGGATGTAGCAAAGCTCGTCATTGTATATGAAAAATGTCATCAGACATAAAATTCCATCATTTCTCCCAAACGTATTCAGGTCTACTCATTGTATCTGCCAGTAGCAATATTACAAATAGAACTCTAAGTCCTCAAGCAGAAGCCCAAAAACTGCTTTCCGTAAAACCTTCGATGTACTCTCGATCATCGTCCAACAAACCCAATGCGTAACACGTGTCGTGATACGTTTCATAACAAACCTCGTCAACAGTTCGTAAATCGGCGAAAGACGTAGCACCACGCTTTAAATTGAGGATACATCGCAAATAATAAGATTATCCTGATCCTGGAGGTACATATGCCACTCGACCCAAAGCGAAACCCCTCTTCCCAGGAACAAATTCCCTTGTTTTTGGCTTCCAAACAAACTTCTGAGGAAATTCAGCATAAGTTAAATTTTTGGCCTCCGCATACTGATCATTGGCCTTCATCCATGCCAGAAACATGCTTTGTTTAACAGATTCACGTTGTACAACATCTGTCATTGCATCCTCATCATCAAAATATACATATTGCTCATCGGGAAAGTGAAAGCTCAAACGCTCAACTGATGGATTCTTATATTGTACCTCAAACCCTAAAATACGCCACATTGCCTCACATGGTGAAACGTATCGACAATCATAGTACAATTTAATTTCGTCCACGGGTTTTTCTGAGCCATCCTTATTCGTGGTCTCATAAAATGCAGTTGTGACGCGATCATTACCTTTATTCACATATTTGAAAAGATACTCGATAGACCTTGATTGGTTACACCACTCGACATTAAGATGAGCCCCATACTTCATCAACAAATACTTATTATGTGGAACAACATGTCTGTTGTCAAGTGGTATAGTGTCTTCACAATCTCTTTCCCATCATCCCGCCTCATGTACTTGGGATAACCATCTTCGTCAATGTTAGTATGCACATTGAAATTCTTTGGAAAGTGCTTAGAACATTTAGATTGGACCATGCATGGTGCGTTTTTTGCATCTCTCCCACACGGGCCATGCATCATATGCATTCTTTACAGCATTAAAATAATCAGGATCACTTGACTCGTCAGGAATTTCGGCTGATATAATGTGATCTATATCTGCAGGAGCTTTAAATTTGTCTGCATTTCCCATGAACAACAATATATGGGCATGTGGGAATCCACGTTTCTAGAACTCAATAGTGTAAACAACTGCATGTAATAATAACGGGCACTGTAATCAATATTTATTATTATTATTATTATTATTATTATTATTATTATTATTATTATTATTATTATTATTATTATTATTATTATTATTATACAACATGAACAATTAGTTTATTAACTATTTAGAATAGAGATATTGCTAACCTACTCGAACATCACCAAAGATCTTGTTTTACCAGAGATCTTTGATCAATCCATCTAACTTCATCTTGAAGACTCGACATATTATATCAGGGCGATCTTCAGGATTCAAATTCCTTTCAGAAAGGAATCTAACAATTTCTGGCCATTTTGGATTGCAAGTAAAAGTCAAGAAAAGATCTGGATATCCAGCCCATCGACATATAGCCATTGCATCTTGATAGTTTTGAATCATGTATCTGGCTCCTCCAACAAATGTCGGTGGTAACACTATTCTCTTTCCTTGGGTAGAAGCATCTCGTTCACCACTCAATAATGCCTCGGTCAGGCCTTTGTACATTGCACATCGTAATTGCTTCTGATTCAATCTTATATAAGCTAGTCTAGATGATTCAACCATTGTGTATCCATCTACCACAAATTGTTGAAACAATCTCCTAGCTTTGAGGATAAAGGAATTCTCAGCCCCACGATCATGTAATCGATATGCAAGGAATTCCCGCACGCTAACACTTCGGCAACCTTTAGTACTTTTACTATTAGATTCTGAAAAACTTATATCCTCTCTATACCCATCTTCACCATAAGAAAACAGAAGTGGATACTGTAGCCCCAAATAAGCAGGATTCAACTCATTGATTCGTTTCAAAGCACCCCCTGAGTTTCGACCACTATGTCCCTCTGGCCCAAAGACTCATCGAAGTCACCAACTATCAAAGCCGCCACTTCAGGCACCGTGGGCAAATTGTATGTTCTAGCATCTCTACTTCTCCACCCAATTAACTTCAAGTTAACATTGGAATGTCCACATTCCGCAATCTTGTCTCTAACCATCCTAAAAGACTTGACTAAAACGTTATGTTGATCCAACATTTGCCTTAGGGTAGAGACAATATCAGCATGCAATTTCTTCTTTCGTTTCTCATAATATTTAGCATAATCCCATAATCTCATAATAAAAACAAAAACAAATTCATGTTGTATTAGGTTATTACCCCACTGAGGTGAGGCGATTAACATCCTCATGTTGTGTGTCATAGATATACAATTGCGTAAATTTGGGGACATTTCCTTCCATGGGTAACAAACTCCCAATCAAATGATAGTTTTGACCACTAAGTTTAAAAACTGGATGTGAGCCACCAATGTTGATTGTTTGATCAACCCTCCCACCCATTGATGTGAAAGAAAACATGCTATTGTATGATCGAATATTGTCCTGGAAGTGTTTTGATTTTTGATCTGTGCCATTTATCAAATCACACAATTCTTTTGGAGGCTCTTTCTGAGGTGCTAGTTTTATCTTCCCTTGTCCGCAACATAGAGAATACTTAGTGCTTCCTATAGTAGAACTTCGCAGCAATCCTTCATCATACCAAAACAATGCCCCACAGTGTTCACAATCATAATTGAGATCACCAATGTCCCAATATTCGCTACTGATTATATCTACAAAACGAACAAATTAATAAGCAACAACTCATTACCATGTGTGAGGAATTGGATTGCGCAATTTTATGACCTTCATCAACGTACGTTGGTTTGTGATGGAACAACGTCATGAATGGCAGGCAATGTGCGTTGTGGTACAATACCAACATGACGTTCTATGTCATTCACATTTTGTGTGGTCAATACTAAAGAAGAGTTGAACGGTGACTGCAACACTGCAATTGTCATTTCTCAATATCAAATCCACGGAATAGGCCATCCATACATACATACACATATTACATAATATTATATTTGAATATGTGATTACTTAAATTGAAATAGCAAATACTCACGTAGTCGTTGATATTGTCATCTAAAAACTGAATTGATATATGTTTTATACATATATGCGCGCGCACGCGCACACACACACACATAGTATTTTTTTTTAATACGTGCATATAAAAAAATAATATCACACGTTATAATAGTATATTAATATTAATATATTGAAATTGATAATTAGATTTAAATTAAGTTATAAATGATTTTATGAAAACATTTTCACAAAAGAAATGAAGTCTTTCATTACACTTAATTATCCTCATCAAAATACTATTTGGTTATGTGTTTTTTTTATTTATTCAAAACGAACACAAACATATTTTTGAAATTATATGTAAATTCATGTACATATAAATATTGAATGGTACTCGCCCGCATATGTCATAAATATATAAAAATATAAAAATTATTATCATTAAATAAAAAGAGATAGTAAATACCATTTGTTCTATCTGCAAAACAAGTTAGAGATTCTTTCCTTTACACTTGATCTTGTGAATTTAGAAGAACTGGAATTGATTCCCAAAGGTGGAGAAGGATGCAGACTATTGACCCTACTATCAACGTTTTCTGCAGAATAAAAGAAAATAAACAGAAATTGAGTTAGTCGATTTTTTTATTGGCAAGTTCTATTTTATATTATCTAAATATTCACATCTAAACCCAAATTTGATAAACTTCTTATTTACAATTTGCATCAATTAAAAATTATTATTAACAGTTATTATGAATATTAATATTATTAATTAACAATTAAAAATTAAGAATTATTAAAATCTCAAAACATTAGCTATATATAAATATTCAATATATAGTCAACGTAGTCATTCACATTATCATCTCAAAATCTCAAAAGTTATTCAATAATAAATATATATATTGTAATATAATATATATATACATATATTATATTATATATATTATTATATTACAAAGTAACATTTGACATTGTAATTTTTTAAAAATTAAATATTACATTTAAATTAAATTACAACTTCTTTAATTGAAAATTACAAAATATTATATTTTCATACCATTTGTTCTATCTGCTAAAATGTTTGAGAATCCCCCGTTTGCAATTGTTGTGAATTTAGAAGAACTAGAACCGATTCCCACAAGTCGTGAAGTATGTTGACTATCGACCTTACAATTATTGTTTTCTGCAAAAAAAAGTTAATTAAAAAAAACATAAATTCATTTTTTTTTAATTAAAAATTCCTAATTTATATTATGTACAATTAACATCAATTAACAACTATGGAGTTTTAATTAACAATTTCTCATTATTATTAAAAATTTAACTACCAGTTTTAATCTATATTAAAATGATTAAAATCATAATTTCAATACTCTAATAATCTGGAACAATAATTTATAGTTTAAATTGTACTTTAATTGGACCCAATTAAGCCTTTTTGGACCCAGCAACCCAATTTCTATAAATATTCATTGCTAACCCTACCCAACCCAACAACCCTATCAACCCACATTAATTCCTAACCCTACCCGACCCAAACACGGACTGTATAAGGCTATAAGCCCCCTCCTAGAGACTCACCAGTTACACTCACTCTCAGACCTATGCTCTCTAGAACCCTAGCCGTTATCCTGAAATCTCCGTACACAACCTACCCCTCCCTTTAGCCCTTCGTCTAGCTCCGATTTTCTTCCGCTTTTCCGGTGCCATGTCAAGGATGGTGCAGTGTTAAGGCAGGATCCTAATTGGCGGTTATGAATCGGCTTCATCAAGTAATCCGCGACTGCATCTCAGTCGTTTGGTATATCTTCTTTTCATAAGTTTTCCTCAAGCAGTTGGTCTGTTTTCATCAGTTCATGTGTATATTTTATATCGATTTCCATAGATCTCATGTTACTCAACGCTATTGTTATCTGTTTAACAAATCCATCTCACTTTTCTTCAAAGGTTACGCTTTACATTTTCAATGGATATCCTTCTTTTGGCCAATTGGTTTTCAAAATTTTTAAAAACATATATAGATCTGTTGATAGCTGTATTGTTTGAGGATACAAAAATCCCATCGGATACACCATTTCATGGTCAGGTCTTTCCAAATATGAGATCTGTGTATGGTGACCGATGAACATTCTTTTTGGTGTTGGTGAAGTAATTTTTTTGTTTCAGCTTTATAGATGAGAAAGGTGGTTACAGATAATAATCTCAGAAATCTGTGCGTTCCTTGCCTTTCGATGAATCTGTACACATATATATTTATATCCATTGATGGCATGAATACATTTTCTAATATCATATACTATGTGTGTGTGTATATATATGTGTGTGTGTATGTATGTATATGTATATTTATACACACTGATGGTATAACCACTTTATAAGATACCGTTTATACGTGTATACACCTGTATACCATGTATATTCATATACATTCATGGTATAAATACTATAACTCAACCTTATTTATACGTGTATATTTTGATGGCATGATTGTATAAATACTACATATTATCTATTCCATACGTATATGAATAGTATATGTCAAGTATACCCAGTATCCTTTATACTCTCTATTCAAAATTTTTATTACGTATTCAAACATTATTTATAGTATATATACATAGTATAATTAGTACACTTTTTCCATATGGATATGAATACTATATATAAACTATACCCAGGATCTTTTACACTCTGTACTCCAAAATTTTATTACATATTGAAACTGTATTTACAGTATATACATAGTATAATTATTACACTATTTTCCAATTGACAAAAATCTAACCATTATCTTTTATACTGTATTCAAATATTACAGTAAGTATTCATACTGCTAAAATAATTATATATATATATATATATATATATATATATATATATATATATATATATATGATACATGTTAAACTTGTTAATCAATACCATGATGGTTGATAAGTCCGTATTTTGACACGTATTTGATGCGTGTTGAGATCGGCTTTTGATGATTTTCCTAGTTTTAAGGTGTTACAAGTTTCAATTTTAGCTCAAGTTATGTTTACCGGGCGTTGGTTCAAGTTTTGTGTTGTTTGTAGTCAAAATCAGGGAATTTGAGCCCGGCACCGGCACTTGAGGAACAATCGGGATGATTTGAGAAGCATTTTAGAATGATTTTATAGCTTTGGAGGTCACCGGAAGATTCACGATGAAGATTTGAAGGAAAAAGAGCTCTAGGACTGGCTTCGGGGTCAAAAGAAGATGAATGAAGATTGAAAACGACGATCAGGATGACCTTCTGTCAATCATTCAAGCATATCTCTTTGTAGAAACATCCAATGTACACGATTCAAGTTCCATAGGAAAGCCAACGTCAAGGGCTACAAATCATATGAAGACACCTTTGCGAGAATCTGAGAGGAAAAAGGTGAAAACAGACGATGAAGTCGGATGATCTCTGCTGCGATTTCAGAAAGACACCGTCCATCGTTTTGATCATATCTCTTGATTGGATGATTCAAATCCCATTCGGCAATTGGGGTGAATAGAGGACTTCATTATCTACAACTTTCATGAAGGAAGTTTTGTCACATTCGGAAGTTAAGTAGGCACGATCGTGCCCTCAAAGTCAGACACGATCGTGCCTGAAGAGAAAAGCACCGCGAAGTTACTGCCTGCCAGGCACGATCGTGCCTGGAGGGAGGCACGATCGTGCCTGCCCAAAATGCGCGTTTTTGCTCCGGAGGCACGATCGAAGGCACGATCGTGCCTGGCATCATGTATGGCTCCGAAAATCCTAATTCAGCTCAAATTTCACCCGATTTTTCTATTGAAACAGCCTGTAAACCCCCGTTTTCAAAGGGGGGGGCTTAGAGAGAGTGCCTAGCACGAATTTTAGAGGGCTTTTCAGCCTTGTTCATCAATCTTTTGGGATTCTTTGTAAGTTTCACTTTTTTAATTAATGACAATTAATTCTTTTTATTCCAATTCTATTGATTCTTCAATTATGAATTGTGAGTAGTTTTAATTAGGGATTTGAGATTGATGAAGGGGTTAATCATGATGTATGGCTAGATTCTTTTCGGTTTAATTGCATGAATGCCGTTTAATTTGTGTTTGAATAATTTAACTGATATCTTTTGTAACCTAGAACGCGCGCTAGAATTACAATTGCTTGTAGAATAAATTAAGAGAGATCTAGTTTATTCTAGGACACCTTCACACACACTTAATCGTTCACTAAGAGATTAGTAGCGATTAAGGGGCCGTAAGCTCGCTCGTCTTGGCAATAATTTAGGATCCTGTCGCATGAGAGAACAGTCTGGTCCCCTAATTTATTGTACTCTATGCCGCGAGAGCGGTAAGAACTTAGTAATGATTAGCTAGGCTCAATTGAATTAATTTCATGTAATTAGGCCTGATCTGCCAGAAATCTGGTTACCCCAGAATCAATCCTTGTTCCCTTCGTCATTAATTAGAGAGAACCCATTTAGTTTAATCGTTTTATTCGCATTTTTATTTTCCAGCAACCAATCTCGCACGACGCATTTATTTTATTTATTTCTTTTAATCGCTGAATTTAATTAATTCTTGATTCCCTTTTGTCCGTCCCTGTGGAGACGTTACTCGTACTTACACCACTATATTATGATCTATTTTAAGTGCGAGAAAACACACATCAATGGTATAAATACTACATACTATCTATTACATATGGGTATGAATACTATATGTAAACTTTACCCATGAAGTTTTATACTTTGTCCTAAAAAAATATATTACATATTGAAATTGTTTTTATAGTATACGCATAGCATACATTGTATAGTATATATATATATATATATATATATATATATATATATATATATATATAGTAGTCTTCCGGTCAGGTATACCTGACCGGAGCCCCGTCCGGCCTCCTCCATTTGGGGGCCTTCCCGGTGGTATTTTTTGCTCAAATTTTTTGTGTAGGTTCCTCATCAAGTCTAGTTTATCCATACCAAATTTCAGCCAAAAATTCAATCGGGAAGGTCGTCAAATGATTTTTGCAAGTTAACTGGTCCGGAAAATACATATTCCGGACCAGTTAACTTGCAAAAATCATTTGACAACCTTCCCGATTGAATTTTTTTCTGATATTTGGTATGGATGAACTAGACTTGATGAGGAACCTACACAAAAAATTTGAGAAAAAATACCATCGGGAAGGCCCCCAAATGGAGGAGGCCGGACGGAGGGAGTGGTCCGGCCTGGCCGGACCTGAACTTTAGTGATATATATATATATATATATATATATATATATATATATATATATATATATATATATATATAGAGAAATCATCTCATCAGGCCGGCCTGACGGGCTGCCCCGTCCGGCCGAGCCCGTTTGGGCATCTTCCCGGTGGAATTTTTTGATGAAATTTTTTTAGCATGTTCCTCATCAAGTCTAGTTTGTCCATACCAAATTTCAGCTCAAAATTCGATCGGGAAGGTCGTCAAATGATTTTTGCAAGTTAACTGGTCCGGAATATGTATTTTTCGGACCACTTAACTTGCAAAAATCATTTGACGACCTTCCCGGTCGAATTTTGAGCTGAAATTTGGTATGGACAAACTAGACTTGATGAGGAACATGCTCAAAAAATTTCATCAAAAAATTCCACCGGGAAGATGGCCAAACGGGCTCGGCCGGACGGGGCAGCCCGTCAGGCCGGCCTGACATGATGATTTCTCTATATATATATAGAGGAAACTTCATGTCAGGCCGGCCTGATGGGCTGCCCCGTCCGGCCGAGCCCGTTTGGGCACCTTCCCGATGGAATTTTTTGATGAAATTTTTTGAGCATGTTCCTCATCAAGTCTAGTTTGTCCATACCAAATTTCAGCTCAAAATTCCATCGGGAAGGTCGTCAAACAATTTTTGCAAGTTAACTGGTCCGGAATATGTATTTTCCGGACCAGTTAACTTGCAAAAATCATTTGACAACCTTCCCGATCGAATTTTGAGCTGAAATTTGGTATGGACAAACTAGACTTGATGAGGAACATGCTCAAAAAATTTCATCAAAAAATTACACCGGGAAGGTGCCCAAACGGGCTCGGCCGGACGGGGCAGCCCGTCAGGCCGGCCTGACATGAAGAGCACTCTATATATATATATATATATATATATATATATATATATATATATATAGAGCTCTTCTCATCAGGCCGGCCTGACGGGCTGCCCCGTCCGGCCGAGCCCGTTTGGGCATCTTCCCGGTGGAATTTTTTGATGAAATTTTTTGAGCATGTTCCTCATCAAGTCTAGTTTGTCCATACCAAATTTCAGCTCAAAATACGATCGGGAAGGTCGTCAAATGATTTTTGCAAGTTAACTGGTCCGGAAAATACATATTCCGGACCAGTTAACTTGCAAAAATCATTTGACGACCTTCCCGATTGAATTTTGAGCTGAAATTTGGTATGGACAAACTAGACTTGATGAGGAACATGCTCAAAAAATTTCATCAAAAAATTCCACCGGGAAGGTGCCCAAACGGGCTCGGCCGGACGGGGCAGCCCGTCAGGCCGGCCTGATGAGAAGAGCTCTCTCTCTCTCTCTCTCTCTCTCTCTCTCTATATATATATATATATATATATATATATAGAGAAAACTTCATGTCAGGCCGGCCTGACGGGCTGCCCCGTCCGGCCGAGCCCGTTTGGGCACCTTCCCGATGGAATTTTTTGATGAAATTTTTTGAGCATGTTCCTCATCAAGTCTAGTTTGTCCATACCAAATTTCAGCTCCAAATTCGATCGGGAAAGTCGTCAAATGATTTTTGCAAGTTAACTGGTCCGGAATATGTATTTTCCGGACCAGTTAACTTGCAAAAATCATTTAATGACCTTCCCGATTGAATTTTGAGCTGAAATTTGGTATGGACAAACTAGACTTGACGAGGAACATGCTCAAAAAATTTCATCAAAAAATTCCACCGGGAAGATGCCCAAACGGGCTCGGCCGGACGGGGCAGCCCGTCAGGCCGGCCTGACATGAAGAGCACTCTATATATATATATATATATATATATATATATATATATACACCGGGGAACCTCCTGCAATGGAGAGACCGACGACCGTACGCGACGGCCCAGAGAAGGCGTCACCGACCGTACAGGACGATTGAAAATCTGTGCCGACGACACTGTAATATGGACAGTAGGCCTTACCAGCGGCGTTTCTCCCAGCAAAACAGGATTGAGATTACACCAGGGAGTTTTCATAGCCAGCCACGGGGAATTTTTGAACCTGCCAAGTCTCATGCTCATGGGTTTAGAATTTCAATTGAAAGCAAAACTGTTCAATTCAAAATCATCAGTAGCAACTTGGTACGCATTTCTGAGACAAAAGATGGAATTACTTCTGCTATTGATTTTGATTTGAAAAAGGTTACCTGGTTAAAAGATTCTATTCCTAAGCTTTTAAGTGCTTCTTGGCCTGGTTCTCGATTACAATTGAGCAATTGCTTTTATATTCTCTATCATGCAAATTTTTTCGGTGGGTTTATCCGCATCATTGACAAGGGGCGCGATTCATTATTCATTCCACAAGGAAAAAATGGAGTTGGTTTTTGTCGTTTCTTGTCAGGGCTTTCTACGACAATTAATATATATATATATATATACACTTTTAATCAATACCATGATGGTATAAATCCTACATATTATCCATATTCCATGTGGATATGAAATACTATATATCATCTATACCCAATATCTTTTATACTTTGTACTGAAAAATTTCATTACATATTCAAACTGTATTTATACTCTGTATTATTCCATATGGATATAAATACTATATATCATCTATACCCAGTATCTTTTATACTATAGTCCAAAATTTTATTACATATTCAAACTATATTTATAGTATGTACACTTTTTTCCACATAGATATGAATACTATATATAAACTCTAGCCAGGATCTTTTATACCCTGTACTCATAAATTTTATTACATTTTCAAATTGTATTTATAGTATATACATAGTATAATTAGTACACTTTTTTCCAATTGGTAAAACTCTAACCATTATCTTTTATACTCTGTTTAAAAATTACATTAAATATTTATACTGGTTTTTGATACCTTGATCAACTATCTCATTGATCCCTCTTTTGCGGTTGATTATGGTTGATTTTGTGATCTTCTTCATTTTAAGCTTGACCACTACATAACATGTCAAAGTAACATTAACAGAAATGTACATAGAATATGTTAAGTGTAGGTGTCATCTATGGCAATCTGGTTTCATGAACCATATATGCACTGACATGTATAAGCCACCATGTTGGTTATGGTGTTTAGTGGTTATTAAGGCACATCCTATAGGACTGTCAGAAACCTTGTCAGCCACAATAGTGGCCTTCGGAACTGCGTGGTCTGGCCGTCCGTTGGCCTGAAAATGAGTAACCACTTGCCACCCACAATCCTGAATCTGTGTCATATGCATTTCATGCTATGAGTATGTATTGTTGTTGTGTAAGTGAAGCATATGTGAAATAGACTTAAAACATGAAATGACAGTACATTTTTTCATACACATTCATAATAGCATTGTCAACCACTGTGTCTTCAGAAAAACATATGTATTCATGTGTGTACATTGCATTACATTTCATTCATTGAATAGGAAACTAAATATGGGTCAATATTTCATGAAATAGCAATGGCCACACAATTTGCAAAATACAAAACAGTTCACTTAGTTTCCACAAAACACATAAGATACTAAACATAGCATATTTCTTTCACTTGAATGCAGTAGTATATTCATGCCATGTTAAGCCAACCAAACTTCATCCCCACACAAGTGTTTTCATTGAAGTACTTCTGGTTGAGTGTTATAGTCCGACCTGATCTTCTAGGTATCATAGGTCTTGCATCTAAGCATTCTTGACAGTCTGTGCATAAGAAATTCCCAGTATTCGTTTTCTTGTTTACAAGCCTCATGCAGTAAAAGTGAGAAATATTTCCATTACACCAAAAGCATGTTTCCAACCGATATAGTCCAGCCCCTTTTCCACATGCATGACATTGTGTATCACATTGTGTAGGAGAACACTTTGAACATGCATAGCTTCTCATCTTTAACAACACAACTTACACATCTCATTAATCAGTTTTTAAAATAAATTGAGTAATGTTTATAATAAAATGTAATTTTATAATTTATGGTCCAACTGTTTTATCAAATTATTGCATAAAAATCATTATTTCAAAACAACTTTAATGCATACCTTTCGCTGGAAGGGAAGTGCTTCAGCTCAGCTTTTATACTTCAGCCTTGCACACACAACTTCTACTTCGTTTTTATGGTTGAGGTCATAAATGATTTTCTGAGCAAAGAGTAAATGCATCTTTAAAGTATTTATGCAGTGAGATTTGAACTTGGTACATAAATATGACTTGATCTGAGGCTTCATTAAATTCCAGCCGACCTAGCAGCCATCCTAGCATTGAGAAATGCTGCTCTACTGCCTTGCAATTAATGCCTGCCAGTTCATTGTTTGAATTATAAAAAGGTTTTGAACTTGTATACTTCTTATATGGTATCCGATTGTGCAGGTTATTAACCAAAGGTACATATTTTCTTGTCACAACTATTTGTACTATATTTATTGAGCACTCTATAACCACCCTACTGGTGCCGTGGATATGTGATGATGGTAAACCATTAATGTTTTGAGAGGTGCATCAGACGAAATATGATATTTTTGTAGAAAGTACAGATATAGTACAACATTGCATTAGATATTCTTTTGAGACCAAAGATATTTTAGTACATTGCATTTAATGTTGTTTCATTATTAAAACCTGTTGCCTATTGCTCAGCTCTAAATCTTCTCTAAGTTATTTTGTTCAAATGATTTATCCTGAGCTGTGGCTTTAAATATTTATTGCTAGGTCCTTAAATTCCTTTTGTTGGGCCTGGTAATTTAAAAATAAATACTTGGTCCAACACATTTATGAAGAAATAGAATGGCTTGAAAATCTTGAAATGTAACGTGGCATTGAAAAATGTTTTTTATTTTTCCTCAACACAATTGTCCATTACTTTTTGAGTCAAAATTAAGTGCCTTTTCCTATTTTTGTTCATACGTTATAAACTAACAGAATATATCTTTTACGTGTAAAAGTATTACCCCCAAAAATTATTGAAACTTTTAAAGGTGCACTGTCGTATGCATAATTTTAAAATCAAAAACCCCTTATTTGTAGATGCCTATTCTTAACACTAAAATGCCACATGTTGCACTTCAATAGTAATTAGCAAACATTATCAGGAACTTAGCTATACAAACATATGGTATCAATATATAGGGCAATGTTTATTGTTTTAAATTACTACAGTTGGCATGTTTTAAATCACATGGAATGACTTTGTATTTTTGCATTTTGTGAATAGTATTTTTTATTAATGTTTCATAGAGATATGCATTATAATACAGTTACTTTGTACTAATGGCCGTAGAATTTTCACCAAGTATCTATCAAGTAATGACATGTTTCATGTTTCATGTATATTGTTATTTTTTTAAATGAAGTAAAATGCACTTTAATGCTATTAATACGTAGTTTAAATATAATTCTTAGGACAGGCTATTTTTTCTGGAATAATTGATTCTTAAGGGCAAAATAGTCTGTTCAGCCCCTTTTGGAATTTTTTTAAAAAGACCACTTTTTTGTCCATGAGTTAATTTTTAGTAATATTGGTGTCCTAACCCCTATTAAAATCATGCAAAACAATATCTATTCAGTTATAACTAGGGGTGGGCAAAAATCCCGGTCCCGGTGTCCCAAACAGAAAAATTCCGATACCGTTCCAAAACTATCTCGATCCATTTAGGATGCAATTTTTTTTTATCCCGAACCGGTCCCGCACCGATATTAACCGGGACGGGACCAGGATAACTATAAAATATCATGTCCCGTCCCGGTGTCCCGTTTGAAATTAATATCTTATTTTAAATTTCTAATGCTATGTAGTAGTCAAACCCAATTAAAACTTTCTAGTCCTTTGTCTTCCTAGTGTAATTTTATCTTATTTCATGCCTCTCTTAGTCTCATTTCTTTTGTTTCTTTTGGTTAAAATATGTTTAGTTCTCATTCCAATACTAACCCATAATATATTATTACGTGCGAAATACTATTTATGATAGAATAACTACTACTCCAAATTATAGTGTTGTTATAGATTTAATAGTTTCCAAAATAACTACTAGAAAATATATATAGTGTCGTTATAGATATGATATATAATTTAATGTGGTATTGAAAAATTAAGAGTGTACTACAAAGTATAAAAATAATTTGTGCTACTATTCTACTAGAGGAAACACAAGATTAGGGGGATAAAAAAAAATTACAAGACAAAAATTAAAAATAGTTAATTAAAGGTTTTACTTAACTTTTTAGGGAAGCTAAATTTGCAAAAATAGTTACGTCTTTATTTTGATGTTATGCTTATTTTTATATCACATTTCACAAATGCAAATTTTATAGGACATCCCGAACCATCTCGATTTTTCTCGAGTTGTCCCGGTCCTGTTTTAAATGGGACAACATTGGGATAAAGACTTATCCCGTACCGTATCGGACCGTTGTTATAAAACCGGGACGGGATCGGGATAAGCCAAATCCCGGATCGTCCGGACCGTGCCCACCCCTAGTTATAACTGACCTAATTAAAAACTTAGAGCATCTCCAATGCCACAATGTGCATATTTTGGAGTAATTACACCGGATCGTTTATATTTTAATTAAAAACTTAGAGCATCTCCAATGCCACAATATGACCTAACTTAGAGCATCTCTGGTTTATGGGAAAAAACTGATTAAGTGATGGATTGGGAAACTCATTGAGTTTTAGTCATACATAGGGTAAATATCTCATGGGAAAATTCTCGAAATAGGACTAAAACAATTTGAAATTTTCAAAATAGGACTGTCATGTTTTTTATTCCCAAACTAGGAGTAATTACTGCCAAGTTTGGAAAATACTGACATGTTTGAAGTCTGGTAATGCCAGAACATGGCAGTAATTAGTCCTATTTTGGAAATAAAAACATGTCAGTCATATTTTGGAATTTCCAAACCATTTTAGTCCTATTTTGGGTAAATTCTCTTTATTTATTTATGAGAGTTTACTTGAATGAGTGGTAGGTGTAAGGTGTTTGTGATACATATGGTGGCATTTGAGTAACAGTAGCTTTGCTTCGATCTGCCAATGTTCTCAAAAGAAAACGCTGCATTTTGCAGCGGTTGGGTTTGGATCCGCCAAAAAACAAACAAGGTCATAGTGATCTTGTAGCATTTAACAATTAACATAGAATATTTTTTCAATTTGGGAGCAACACCAACAACTTTGTTAATTCGGACAACACTTGCAAATATTAATAACATCATGTATTTTTATAGTAAGTATTAAGTA